TGTATACAGAAATGATCTAATGAGCACCGGTGCTCATCTTATCCTAAGCACCGATGAGTTGGCACATTAATTCATTGGTGTATCATGTACTTGAGTGGATAAAACATGACATAAATTTTGAGCTCAAATAAAAGAAAAATGCTATTCATCCCCAGTATGGATGAATCCCCAATCTATGTGGATGTAAATGATTGGTTAAATGATAGGTGAAATTAAATGACTTATTTAATTTCACCTATCATTTAATGCCACATAGACTGGGGATGCATTCCCAGTGGGGATGAATAGCATTTCTCCAAATAAAGTGGTCCTAGGATCCTAGCTTTGGCATGTCATTTCAACTATTTGGTCTTCTAATGCAGAAAATTATATTGTAATTTTTTGTTTTTTAAGAAGAAAATCTTTCATTTAATTCAAGTCATTGCGAACTTCACATTAAATAAAGCGTACAATACAATCGACCCAAGATTTACTATCTACTTCCACGCATATTTTGTAATGACATGTAACATGAATAATATTGTAAATGTTTAAATTTGAACTTCCTTAATACAATATTGTAAAGTAACATTGTAACTATTTAAATTTGGGCTTCCTTGATACATTAATCTTACGTGTAAAATGTCACAATACATGGAAATGGAAATTAAGCAAGGACTTCAGCTTTCAAATCCTCGAGAAATTGATCAAAATATCCGTGTTGATCCATCTATCCTCAATGCATCCTGCAAAATCTTCCTCATTCTGTTGCCTCAAGCCATTCGACGTTTCTCCATTCATCAAACTCTTGATCTTGTCTGCAACTTCCTCAGTTGTAACTGATATCCCAGCACAAAGATGAATTCGAATCTTCCAATCATCGACTGCTAATTTTCTATTTGTAGGTTGATCATATGTAACTGGATAACAAATCATTGGAAAATATGTTGTACCATATTGAATTCCACCCACAATGTCTTATGAACCCTCCAACAGCGGGATTTGAAAGAACCTCATTTCGATTGCACGATGGAATTATCAACCCTTAATCTTTGATATCATTCTTGAATTCTGTAGGTAAAAAAATCAGTATCATACTTCTTGGCAATTCTTGCAGGTCCTGAATATAATGTGTCAGCAATCAAGAAATGGACTGAAGATGGATCAGACTGGATAATGTTTCCAACAAGTTCATCTACACGAGAGGGGAAATCTCTCAACATAGATTCCCAGAACTCTTCCAAGTTGAGAAGTCAATCAAATTCCATAGAAAAAACGTCAGAGATTGCATGTCAAGATCGGTTTCGTGCATCGCCGAAGAGATCTAGTCAAGTACTAGAATCATTATGGTGGGATTGAGATAACTTGGGATGAACAAATTCAGTGTGAACGCT